AGGGGCTGTGGCAAACAGGTACATTAGTGCCATGATGGTAGAGCTATGGATTGATCCTACTACTCTGAAAAGCAATTATGCCCCCAAAGTTACTAAAATATAACCCAATTATACCACTAGTAGGCCTACATCCCAAGAAATTCAGAAAGAGGTAAAATCCTGTATGTACAAAAACATTCATAGCAGCTCTTTTTGCTGGAGCCAAAATTCAGAAACTAAGTGGCCATTCTATGGCTTAACAAATTGTGGTATATGAAGTAATGGAATATTCTTGTACCATAAGAAATTATGAAATGGACCATTTCAGAGGAAACTGGGAAACCTCTATCAACTAATGCAGAATGAAGTCAGCAGAACTAGAACAACACTTACAAAGATAACAAACTTTGGAAAATTTCAGAACTCTGATCAATTCAATGATATGCCACAAGTTCTCAGTCTCACAACCTTGGAATTATCATGGATTCTTCACTATCTCTCACCTCCCATATCCAAACTCCTGTCAAGGCCTGTCAGTTTTCCCCTTTACAACATCTCTCCAATCTGCCCTCTACTCTTTTCTGACACAGCCACCACTCTAGGGCAGGCCTTCATCTCGTCACACCTGGACTACTGCAGATTGGTGGATCTGCTGGCCTCAGGTTTCACCCCAGTCAAGTCCATCCTTCACTCAGCCACCGAGGTGATTTTCCTGTCCTGGCAGCTTCCAGCTGCTTCCAAGAGAAATACAAAATACTCTATTTGGCATTCAGAGCTCTTCATAACTTACCCCTCTCCTACCTTTCCAGTCTTCTTCTTACTTCTACTCCTTTAGATTCAGTGACATTGGTCTCTTGGCTATTCCACAAACAAGACATTCCATCCCTCAGCTCCAGGCATTTTCTCTGGCTGTTCTGTCATAGCTGGGAAACTCTTTCTCCTCCACTCTGAGTGGCATCCCTGACTTCCTTTAAGTCCCAAGTAAAATCCCACCTCCTGCAGGAAACATTCCCCAACGCCTCTTAATTCCAGTGCTTTCCCTCATAATTATTCCCTCTTAATCCTGCATTTAGTTTGCTTTGTGTGTGTTTGTTTGAACGTTGTCTCTCCCATTAAATTGTGAACTCCTTGAGGGTAGAAACTGTCTTTTGTCTCTTTTTTGTATCCCCAGCACTTAGCACAGTGCTTGGCACATAGTAGGTGCTTAATAAGTGTTTATTTGCTTGATTGATTAAGTCCAAAGAAATGAAAATGAAACATACCACTCACTTTTTCAACAGAAAGATGAACTTTAAATGCAGAGAGACCTACATATTTGAGTATGGCTAGTGTTGCAATTTCTTTTGCTGGATCAAGCAGCTATTTATTAGAAGCTTAATTAATCAATCAATTAATTAAATTTGCTTATGGAGAGGGGAGTACTGGGAGGATCAGATTAATTTTTTTAATGAAAAAATTAAACTGATGAAAAAGGGATATTTCTGCTATGATGCACCACTTTTCTTTAGGTTCTTCCTTCCTTCCTTCTTTTCTTTCTTTCTTTCCTCCTTCCTTCCTTCCTTTTTTTTTTTTTTTGCTATGTGGTGCATTGCTCTGAATTAAAACAAGTACTGAACTGCACTGCCAAAGAGGAATGGTGAAAATACCCTGCATCAACCTGCTACCAATATCTTGATCCATTACCTTAATGAGGCAGGACTGTTATTGATGTTACCTTGTTGGGACTAAATGGGGTAGTTACATATTGGGGAAAAAAAATTCAAGTGCACAGGATTTAAAGTGAATATCATTTGTATTCTAAAAGAACTATATTGCTAAAACATATATGCCATATAAAAGAAAAGAAAGAAAAGTGCAAGCAGCAGTGTCAGAATGAGAGAAGTCTCCACTGGAATGCCGCCTTAGGAGTATAAGTTGTCCTGACTATGAATATTCTGCTTCCAGAGATACTGTTTGAATTGGTGGAGAAATATACCACTATTATGTATGGTAGATTCTCTCTAGATGTCTAATTAAGTACTTTTTGTTTCAAACTGATTTCTGGTTAGTCCACTAAAAGAGAAGCATTGGTTGGGACTGCGGTTTTGAACAGATGCTGAATCAAAGCATGCCCTGAACTTGGGGTAACTTTCATAGGTTTCATGTTTGGGGGAGGGGAGGAGCTGAGCTACACTTAAATAGCCTTTTATCATAACACTCTGATTAAAATCTTCAATGGTTTTCTACACCACAAAACCTAAACTTTTCTTCTTGGCTTTTTTGGCCCTCACTGATCTGGATAGTTAAATTCCATGAGGACAGGGACCTTCCTTTAATGTTTATCTTTTCCTAGCACTTAGCACAATATTCTCATGTTTTATTTAACCCTTGCACTTCCCCTCACGCCTAATGCAGTACTCTGTATATGGTAGGTAGGTAAGGTACTGTCCTTTGTTTGTGGAAAGGGGCAGAAACAGTTTTGAGAGAATCTGGGAGAAAACAGCCCCTTAGACGAAAGTACTTGGGGATCTGAAAACACAGACAGTTAATAATAATAGCTAACACTTATAAAGTGCTTACTACATGCCAGGCACAATGCTAAGTGATTTACAATTCTCTGATTTGATTCTCACAACAACTCTGGGAAGTAGATGCTATTATTATCCTCATTTTACAGACGAGGAAACCGAGGCAAGTGACTTGCTCAGGGACACAGAACTAGTAAGTATCTAAGGTGGGATTATGAATGCAGGTCTTCCTGACTCTAGGCCCTGTGGGGCTATCCACTTCACCACTGAGCTGTTCCGTATCTGGGAAAACCTGAGTTAAAGCAGCCCTCAGAGAAAAAGAGATCCTTTACACGTCTATTAGGAGGACTTTGAGTGTGATAGGTGAGAGCTCTGATAACTAGGACTCTTTGGTAGTTATGGGACAATTTTGTACTGCCTATTTGCAATGAGTCTCGAAAATGTGAATTTTGGTTTCTCACCCTAAGGTAGAGGTGAGTCACTTCTCACAAGAAAACCTACCTTGAGACAGCAGAAGGAACAAAAGCAAATAAAGAAGATGGAGAAAGAGGAAGCTGGTAAAGGAGAGTGCAGAAAAACTAAGCCCAAATGAGTGAATGGCTTACAGAAAATCAGCCAAGCTCAGAACTGAAAAAAGTTTAGAGCAGGGGTCAATTTAGGGTCCATGGAAAGCATACGCATTAGCATTTTTTTGATTAGGAATTAAAGAACAAAACATTTTTTTGAGAAGGGGTCCAAAAGGCTTCACAAAACTCCAAAGAGGACGACACAAAATAAGTTAAGAACCTCTGGTTTTGAGCCTGTGTTTCTGCCTGCGTCCCCCAGATTCAGTCTCCTTACTCCCTCTCCTCCTTACCCCACCCCTTCCCAGCTGCTGAAAGGAAGCCAAGTTTTGTCTCTGCTGCTAAAAGCTAAGCTTATTGGAGGAAAAGACTTACGGTTGGGAGTCTACTGGAGAAACTGCTTTGTTGACTGGAACAGCTAATTAGAGAAGAGACAAGCTTGACTGCCTTGCCTTTTATCGCCATCTATAGCTTGAGAGGGAAAACACCCCAGAATTCAGTCTAGAATAGGCTTAGTGGAACTCCTTTTGCTAAGGTGGAGAGGCCTTTAGAATTTATCGAAGAAACAGTCTGAGCTGAGGAGCCAGTGGAAAAAGGGCTCCATCCCTGAGGCAGCTTCTAGTGCAGACTATTCCTTAAGGAGACCAAGGACATCAAAGACTGCAACCCAGAGTTACAATTTGCCTTGGACCTATGAGTTCCCCCACTCCAGGGGGTCTTAACCTTTTTTTATATATGTGTCATGGCTCCCTTTGCCAATCTACTGGGGGCCCCCTTCTCAGATGTATGAATGTCTACTGTGCAACACAATTACTATCTGGAATTCAACAATTTTCCCATGTTAAGCTCGTTTCTCCAACTAGATTGCAAACTCCTGGAAGCTATAGTTCCAATTTTTTATTTCTCTATTCTCCTCGTGTCTAACACAATGCTGAGATCACTGCTTGGTATGTAAATTTAAGTAAAATCTAAAACCCTTTAAATAAGCATTAAGACATTTTTCTTTGTGCCTTACCCAAACATTTTATCAACTCAGAGTAGGTTAGTCTAGGCAGAATAGTTGATACGTGAATGGTTATTTCTTCCATTTCAGGGTAGAATCAATATATGATTGATAATGTCTCAAAATAATAGAACCCATCTCCAGTTATGGTGATTTAATAGAAATCATTGGAGAATAAATTGTTCGATTCTGCTACATACAATATTTTCTTTTAAAAATTAAAGAAGTTTATTGATGTTGTAGCCATTTCTAGAATAAAATATTACATTTTAGGTCATTCTCAAACTACGGTTAAGTCAATTAAGTGGTAGCAGCAGAGAAATGCAAGGTCAAAACCCGTACAAACTTGAAGGTTAAGAAAAGGCAAACTTTAGTCATGCTGCAAATGAATGAAATCGGAGTCCCCAGACAGCTCTTGCACCTAGAAGAGGTGGTTTTATGGGGAACCAATTTTATTATAAGGAAGGTTTGAGGTACCAGTACTTGGAGGTCTCTATGTGGTGATGACAATAATGACTGCTCTGAAGCTCAGGGGTCACCTGCATGGTGATGGTGTTTCTCATGTAAAAAAAAAAAATCAGCATTTATAAGCATTTTGAACATGGCCAGAACATGTAGAGGTGACCCAACTACAATTATGTAGACAGTGCTAAGCAGAGAATCATTTATCTTGTAACTTCTGTAAAAAGGGTAGAGATTTTACAGAGTTTAGCCAACAAAAAAAAATCCCTCGTATTTCAGAATGAGAATCAGGAAGACATCTTTTTTTATTTAATCAATTGAGGCTCCTTAGTATTTAAACTCTTTTGAATGCTTTGTCTTTAATCTTCAAGTCCTGGATTTTGGTTATGACATTCCTGGGATTTTTCATTTTGGGGTTTCAGGAGGCAATTGGTGGATTCTACTTTCATTTTGCCCATTGCTTCTAATAGTTATAGGCAATTTTCATTCATATTTTCTTTAAATACATTTAGGATTTTTTTTTTTTGTCATTTAGGTTTTTAGGTAGTCAGATTATCTCCCCTTGACCTATATTCCTGGTCAATGGTTTTGTTAAGATTATACCTGACATTTTCTGGTATTAAAAATATTTTGGGTTTTTACTATTTGTTGTCTTTTGGGCCTATTTTTCAGTAATTGAGTATGTTTCGTACCTCTTATACTAAGCCATTTATTTATCCTTCCAATTCTTTCTCTAGAACTCAAATTCATGTTATCATTTTAAAACTTTTTTCTTCCAGGAACTCAGAGCATTTAGCAAACTTGTGATTATGACACTTATACACGAGTTCCTTTTTTTTCTGGGTTTATGTCTATGGCTCTATAATATTATTGTTGATATTTTCTTATCTTTACTCATTTTTCCAGCCTTACTTCCTGAATTGAGCCTTTTGAGTCAGGGATAAGCTTTGCCCTTCTGCAAAGAATGGTGAGGCTTTCTTTGGTACTGATCTGTATTGTCTGGGCAATCTGCCAGATTCTTCAAGGACCCCATGAACAGCTCTCTAAGCAGTCAGGCAGTTTACATGAGAAATACATGGTTGAATAGTGAAGAGGCGCTCTGACCCAGGAGGTGCCCCAATAGTTGTCACCTTAGTCCTAATCCTCAAGCTTTTGACCCGAGAGAGATCAGAATACAGGCTATGGGATCCAGGCATCCTAGATCCTGGCCCTTCTGCTTGAGACCTATGTACCATGCTCTAGCCTAAGATTCCCTGGCGAGAGCTCATCCCCAGTACCACAGGCTTCTGTCTGCTTATGTGGGCTTGTACAGGCAACGTGCACTTACTGTAGTTTCTCCTTGGGTTTTTTGGTCATTTCTGTCTCATTCTCTTTTTCCATCCTGGCTAGAGTAGTGAGATGGACTATTTTGCTTCCTCTCACTCTGCCATCCTGACAAGTACTGTCCAGTGAGTATAAAAGAGTTATGATGACTTAAGAGATGGAAAATTATGCAAGTAATTAAAAAACAAACATGGACTACACGTGTAACATGAGATGAGAGGATAAGTGGACAGTGGAACAAGTGAGAGGAGCTTTTCTGGGAATGACTGAAATTACATATTCAATAATCAGTCAAAAAACACCAATGTGCACTAGGTCCTGTGGGAAATACAAATTTTAGAGAAGACTGAACCCCTACCCTCATAAAACTTACTTGGATGCATCATACAAATAAGGGGGAAAGGCAACCAGTTCTCACAAAAGTATCCCTGGCAATGGAGAAAAGTGCTATGAAGACTTCTTTTAGGAATTGTAGGACCTGGCAGTGAAGGGCACTATCATACCATCCTAACCTTAGATTGCTAGTTTTTTTTTTATATTTTTTATATGGGGTCAAGTGTGTTTTCATTATTCATTATTCAATTATTCAATAAGGTGAATTTCTCAGGACTTGAGATATGGGCCAAGCCAAGAAAATCATCTCTAAAAGGTAACCTGGGCCTATGTAACACTTTGTACCATATGACAATCTGGACCTCAAATGCCAAGGAATTATATTTTATGACCAAACAAAACAGGGTCAAATTTCCCAACGAAATTAGTACTTATAGAAGACACAACTGGTCAGCGTTGTCTTACATTTGTTATTGGATGTCTTACATTTATTTAATCTCTATTCAATTTTTAAGCAACTTTACAGTAACAATTGTTTTCCACTTAAATTTCTAAACTGCCAACAATGCCTAGTACAGGGCCTTATACAAAGCTGAGTCAACCGAGTATCTCGTAGTTAAACTAATGAAGTCAGCTGAGCATGAGGCCACATTTATTTTCTCTTTTGGATTATATATTTTAAAAAATATTTACTTTCATCTGGATTACAACTAAACTTTTTGGTTCTATTAAACAATTTTGCCATGAAATTATCATGTCAGCAATTTAAAAAACTAAGTGATACTATCATTTGGTGGTTTTTATTTTTTAATTTTTTTGTTGGTAGCTCCTACCACTCTACCTTGCCTACAAGGCAATGTAGGTCATCAAAATCAAACGTATTTAATTTAGCATCTATCCATTTGCTTACAGGGATTATTTCTTTTCTTGGACTTTGTATGAATGAATGAAGTACTTACATGTGCAAAGCTGTGTGTTAAGCTCTAGGGATACAAAGAGAAAAGACAGTTCCTGCTCTCAAGGAGGTCACACTCTAATGGTGGATACATTTAACACATATGGGTGGGTTTTCAGCTGCAAGTCTGACTGAAAGGTCCCAACAACAAATCAGATGGTACTGTCTCTTTTTAAATGTCACTTCCATTGATAAAAATACCAGTTTTTGATATTGAACCATTTGCCAGTGCTGAGGACTCTGGAGACAAGAACTTTCTTTTCTCAATCTTTAGGGTCTTCGGCTGTGTCTATGGGGTCTAAGTGGAGCTGATGGTTAAGGTGGTCATGTTGGTTTGACTTGTCGGCACATGCTGGGTTGTTTCTTTCCCAAGGTACTCTGTTGCCTCAAGTAGGCTGGCTTGCCTGTCCTGTGAGTGGTTGTTGGTGGGAATGGCTGGAATTCCAGGAGGACTGTTGGTGTAAGGGTGGATGTGCCGCTACTTCCAGCACTCTTGTGCTATCCATATGTTGGTGGCAGCTAGTCAGCTGTTGGTGGAAGTGATGAGGAAGGTGAGCCCTTCTCCACAATGATTCCTCCCCTCAATAATTCTCAGTGCCTAGCATAGTGCCAGGCATGGAGTAGGTGTTTATTGACTGATATTTCCACTTAAAGTTAGGCTACCAAACGCCCAATGCTACCCTTTTACAGATGCACTCAATAACTAGGCGTTGACGATATAGTCAATACTAGGTATTTGTCATGCGAGTTACAGAGATGTGGTTCTTGTCCCACATACATAAGACAGACAATACTTCTATTGTCTCTTATTCCTGAGTCACACATGTACAGAAGGCTATAATTGCAAACAATTTCAAAGAAACAGAGTAACTTGAGAAGTTTTTGTGGTTATGTCAAAACTTATTTGTAGGCTTCAAGTAGAGGTTGAATGACTTGCTGGGGATGTTGTAAAGGTCCAGGTCAGACTAGATGAATTCTGAAGAGTCAGTGATTCTATTACTCTAAGGGCATATTTCAGTTGGGTATTTAGAATATATTTTCTTTGTCAAATTTCCACGGGATTGAAATACTCTAGTTACCAAAGGCTCAAATATGATAGTTCAGTATATGTAATATTGTTCCAAATGACTTTCAGAAAAGTTTCCATTCATTAAACTGGCAAAAATTTTTGGTAAGTGTTCTCTTGAAAAAATCAATTACTTCAAAATAGTTTCCTGTTAGAAAAGGTAGAATGGCCAGCTATACATATGCACACATTTACATAACCAAAATTACAGAAAAATAGGATCTTCAAGATAACACTTTCCCCCCAATATATTATAAACCACACTTTCAGAAAAAAGTTCCAATAATTATCCCCAAAAACTAGCTGCTTCTAAGCTTGACTTAATGTTGTAGGCGTTTTCTCTCCTTTGCTTGGTGTAAATATTTGCCTCTCCCTTTTGTAATCTTCGTCTCACTATAGCTTTTTGTTGTTTGGTCAACTGACGTTTCACCTTCTGTTTCACCAGTTCCTGAAAATAAGAAGTAGCACATCATTAGCATCAATGACAGCTATCTTTGGTAAGAGGTTAGAGTCACAGCAACAAAAACTTAAAAATTCCTGCTTTAATTTTATACTCTTATCAACATAAACTTGGCCAACAGACCAATGCCAACAATTAAAAAGATACAATAAAATCCAAACTGTCACTGACAGATTCTTAACAAAAACACTAGTTTTTCAAAAAAGAAAAAGAAAAAAAAAGAACTGTTCCAGCTTTCCTAATTCGATGAAACATTGCCACCTAGTGTTCATTATAGGGGGAAAAAAATGGACATTTCTCCTACTGCCCTATAAAATATTTATAGCACAGTAGTTGGCAATTACGCTGTTTTTAAAGGTATTTGCCATTTGGTCAAACTACATAAAACAATTCCCTTATTTACTTCAGAAATTTCCAGTTCTGATAGGAGGAATAAATAAAAAAGCCATAAATAATCTGGAGAAGGTATAGAATGTTCTCTTGTGGTAAGAGAAAACAAAATTAGCTCAACTCAGTTTAAGTCTTATTCTAGTTATTTATTTCAATTACACAAAATAAGCTCAATGGGAATATATCAACAGAATTTTCTCCCTTTTTTGGAAGTCCTACGGAATTTATAATCTACTTCAGAAGGACAGGACAATTTATATTGCAAGACATTCTAGTCTACTGAATTTAATTGAATTCTGAATTTATTGCAGGAATTTATTTCATCTTTGTATCTTCCATAATGGTTGGCTATGCCCTATACATAATAGGTGGTTAAAAAATGTTTGCTAAATTGAATTAATAAATACACATAGAATTGGATTATCAGAAAATAATATTAAGAGATATAACGATTAGAAGGATCACTGCATTGTTTGTGAACCTGATTTTCCATATCTAGAGCATTTTATCCCTGGCTGGAGGATCTATTGCTACTCTTACCCCTATATGGGTATGATAGGTTTCATGAAATTTAGATCATTTTAAATAGGCCAGATTAAATAAACCTAAAGAATCTAATAAGTCAGTAATTTTGCTATTGTCTATTTGCTTTATAACAGAAGACTGAGTCCAATATGGCACATCTGGGAATCTGGTTGAAAGCTAAATTTTAAAACAGGTAGTGGGAAAGCAGGCAGGGGAAAGGTAAAGGAAAGAACACTGGACTCAGAGTGAGGATAGAACTGGGTTTGACTCCTTACTCAAACCAGCTGCATAACCACAGTTATGAAGGTTCTTATTAACCTTTCAATATATTTCATTATGGAAATAGTAATATTGCAGCATCTACCTCACAAGAATATTAGAAAGATCAAATTATATAATAAATGTGATGTATTTTGTAAATGTTAAAGTGCTATACATATATGCTCCAATGAATATGACCTCATTGATATAGGCTGTCCCTTCCAATGCTGTAGACTGAAAGTCTACCATGTCTACATGTTCTGTGTGACTTATCCACATCCACTCTGATAAAGGGGGTCTACCCAAGGAACTGATGGGATTGGAGCTCTTTTCATATATTGTGACTATCAGTGAATCATGTGTCCTTCAACTATTCTTTGCCTTATGCGGTAATATAACCTATTCATTGCTTTCTACTCATACATTTCTGACATTCTTTGTACCACTTTGCCTGTGTAACTCTTCATTTATAAAGTGTGACAGCCTGTCTGCTCATATCTTGAAACTTTATAGTATTCCATGACTTGAAACCACATATCACCATAAGAATACTGGCATTAAAAAGATAGGCCTTTGTTTCAGGGAAGTCTCAGGTCATTAAATGCACTGTGGCAATTTCCCAAAGAGCAATCCAACTGACTTTTCTCTCCTTTGTTTACTTCTAGGCCAAGCTTCCTGTCCATTTGCACTTTTAAACCCTTAGACAGATGTACTGATGGATAATCAAATTTAAAATATCTAACAAATGTCACAGGAAAAATACATTGCCTTTCCACAAATAACCGGCCAGAATCAAAGTATAGGGCAGTACAACTTTTAAAACCTTTTCATAAAATACTTTAAATTTCCTCCTTATATTTTAAAAGTGAAAAATTAGTTCAATTATAAAATTAATCCAGTGAAAATTACAGAGCATGAAATAAAATTGTCCCCAATTCTGTGTACTGAATAATAGATGCTATTTATGTACAAATGAATCCTATGCTATCACCAATATGAATGGTTACTTCTAAGAATGAAGCCTGTAACCTATTCGTGCCTGCCCACCTAGTGTGAGTCTAGTCTATGTCTTCCTATAAATCTGTCACAGGAGATCCACTGAACGTGTTGGGGCAACTTTTGAATTTGTCTCCACACTGACAGGCTAATAGAGTAATACAAGGCCATCCACTGGGTACCCCTGATTCGTGTCACTTTACCAGCACATCTATTTTGGCTCATACTATTTGGATGACTTTCTTTTCTCTAGAAAACCCTTCACAACACACTATCTCAACTGATCCTTTCAACAAAACCCTGTGAGACAGTATTATTCTACATTCTCTGTAACTTTGATTCTAGTTTGGCATTTGCAGAAAGGCAATGTATTTTTCTTGTACTATCTGTTTGGTATTTTAAATTTGTTTATCCATTAGCACATCGGTCTGGGGTTTTTAAAATGCTGCAAATGGACAGCAAGTAGATGAGGAAACTGAGGCTTAGAAAGATTAAGAGACCTGTGTCAGAGGTGGATTCAAGCTCTGCTCTTTCCTGACTCCAAATCTATTACTTCCGTTTTATATCACACTGTATCATGTAGAATTAAGACTATGTGATTACTAATTTGTTCCACACCACGAAAACCAATAAAATACTAATTAAAGCATTTAGGTTTCTGATCCTAGGTAAGGAAAAAAAGGGGAATGGAAGAAACAAACAAATTCTCTGAAACCTAAATTTCTTTATCTGTAAAATGGGGAAAATAACTTCTTTGCCTCTCATGTTATTAACGAATAAATGAAATTTCTATAAAAGTGCAAAAACCCTTAACTTATTATACAAGTGTAAGGTGTTAATACGTTACTGTTAATAATAAAGTTATTTATATCACAGGTATCTTCTAGATTATAAAATGAGCATAGGGACCATGTTTTATGCAACTTTGCACTCTCAGGAGCACTGAGCATATTATCATGTCCATTGTAGGTAATTAGCAAACATTTAAAATTAGTTACCGGAGGAACTGTGGAACAGCTTACAATACTGCCTGCAGAAGTTACACTCTCAGTTCTTGTTCTATGGTGATTAATTTGTTCCATGTTTTCATCCCTAAAAAAGAAAGTAAAAGTTACTGTATCAAGCAATAATTTAACTTTAATGTATAATTAAGCATATAAAAACTAAATAAAATCACCATTTAAGTGTTTCTAACAATATTTTAAATTCTAGTCAACAGCTTAAATGCTCTACAGATAAGAGACATAAAATATCTCTGTTTTGGCTTTGTTACCTCAGAATCTAGCAAACTAAAGACTTCAGAAAGAATATTACTATGGTGGAAAAGTTGAAGTACTGAAATTAAAAAAAAAACTCTACTTTCTGATTTTGTAAATTTAAAATCTCCTCTGGCACTCTGACACACATCTTTTCATGAAAAGCATATTAAGGCAACTACTTGCTAAAATCTCTATAAATTAATGATGTATGTCATCCAAAGTACTAATGATTTGATAAAATAAACAAATAATAGATATTTTACGTCCTCTAAACCGTCTACTTCTGCCTTGATTCTTTTAATTAAATTATTTTTCCATTCAATGATACTATTCCATGGTCTATAAACATCTATTACTGGCACAGTCTTCTCCTCCAACTCAACACAGAGTTCAAGGAAGCTGAGACCACAGTCTGTATTGTTAGAAAAACTGCAAGTTAAGGGATTCCTCTGCCAAACCATCCATTTCTACAGATCAAGGTTGTAATATTTATGAAGCATTAATTCCTAATAGTCATTATTTTACTATCTGGACGGAGGGAATTTATTCAGTCACTATGTCATATTGCTTCAAATAGAGGTTATATCCCTAGAATTTATTTTTTCAAATATAAATACACATATAAATCTATAATAATGTGGTCTCACCCCCCCCCCACACTCTTTCTCTTTTTTTCTTTCCCTTTTCCTCTTCCTCCCTCCCAACTGACACTTCATCCTTCCACTGTTTTGGAGGCAGGTATACTCTGGACACAGACTAGATGAATAAGCATCAGTATTTACAAAAGAAGCACAATGTAGACATATGTAAGAAGAAAAAAATAAAAGCAAACACAAAACCTTTTTCTTTCAATAGCTTGCAACTAATGACTATTCAAGAGCACCTGTAAATTCTTTAGAAGTTACCATTATGCATTACCATTAACAGAAGTCTGATAAAACATTTATTTAAAAGTAATCAATAGGCTGCCTTGGATCAAAAGAGCAAGTGTAAAGGAATAAAATTTGGGCTTTTAAAGACAAAAAAATAACACATTATGTTTCCATTTTATACAAGGGTAACATGTCAGGCTTTTTGAAAGATGATCATTTATGAGAATCAAGAGAAAGTAGTGAACCAAAGATTAAAAGCAAGGTCCAATCAATAGAAATCCATACCTGAAAGGCCTGAGTTCTTTGTTTAATGCTGACAAGCTAACCAGATCAGGGCATTCATCTTCATATTCCTGACAATCAGCAGAAACTTCTCCTCGAAGCATTTGATCTGCTCCCTTGGTGACATTCTCAGTGCTGTCTTCCTCTTCATGAAAACCAGTCGCAGAATGCTTTATGCAACTTCTCTTCTTTCCTTCAACAATCTCTCCCTGAATTTCTCCTAATGAATGACTGATTTCAGTCATTTCCAAACACTGTGCACCACCCTCATCCTCAGACAGCACATCTGTATTCTTTTGTACCAGTTCTTCAGAAGAGTTCATTTTACAATCATCATCCGATTTATCTATGAAGTTTCTTCCATTTTCCAACTCAGAAGTCTTTACCTTCTCTTCAAGTGATGAAGGATATTCAGATCCTTCATCTATTTCAAGACTCTCATCATCAGGACCTAGTGGATGAAGTAGTTCATCATCTTCCTGCATTTGTTTTGTATATCCACTGGCAGAAATTTCTACATCAAGAGAGTCCTCCTTCCTAGTTAAAACAGCAATTTCAAGCATTAAAACTTCCCAACAAAAATCTTAATGTTTAATTTCACATAGTTTTTATGGTTACCAAATTAATTTCTAATAGTTAATACATTCAAAAAGTGAGAATTTTGGAACCCCAAATGCAATGTTTTATAATTACTCAAGAATATATTGTATACATATTTTAAGTATATAGATTTACAAAATTTATGCTATTATAATTATATAATTACAATAAATTGAGTATGGAATACAATAAATATAATAAAAAGGTCACAGAAAATTTTAGGAAAGATGGTTACCTACTTAGTTTTTAATAGTTCAGTTTTATTTCTCCCCTGTGTAAGCAGTAACCATTTCTACTGAGGTGGGGGAAATGCTTGTGGAGCTTAAGCTCTGTGCTCTTCAGGGCCCTTCCATGGAGGCTCTGGAGGGAATTACATTCTGGGGTTCAGGGGTAAGTTCAAGGGTAAGAACAAAAACTTGCCTTGATTTGGATTCTCTCATGGGTGAGGTTACTTCATGCCATCATGGATGGCTGGCTACATCCACATACAATCATAGTTATTGATGACTGCTGGCCCAGTTGCACTGTCATTTCCAATAACCAAATAGTTTACACAAATATGACTCCTTTAATGTGGGTAAAGCTTCCCAAGCTTCCCCAAGACTCTTCTGGACTGGGCCCAACTCAGGCCAGTCTCCTGGTAGTTTAGGTTTGATGCAGAGATGCCGCTATAGGTCACTCAGCAGTTAACAAAGAGAGATTTGCTTGGCCACAGCAGGAACATATTAAACAAGGACAGGCATTGAGGGCAGCTCCCCTGCCTGAGGTGATCAGCCAAACATTAGAACATGCCTAGAGCTCCTCCTCGTGGCCAGAAGTGATGTGAACAGCCTCAAGTCTTATTCTCTGGAGCCAAACAAATCTTAAGGATGGTCTCAGTATCTTTTAAGGAAAAACTATCCTAACCTGCATGGGGGTAGGAGTTAGGAAATTGCTCCTACCACAGCAATGTTCAATATTTTCCTCAACTAGCTAAAAGTATTAAGGTTTGAGGCTAATGAATCATCACACAAGCAGGGTTGCATCAATTAAAAAAAAACCTAAACCCTTCATAGAACTAACCTGATATCTCCAAAGGTTGGATAAAGTTCACTTTCATAATTGAAACGTCTTATGAAGAAATCTCGGATGCATTTAACATCTCTGTCAAAGTACCTGCAAAAGTAAGAATCATTCTGTATTATTTAAATTGCTCCTAAATCCTCCTTTTCTTATTTGCCTATACATATTGTTGTTCACTTATTCTAATATGAGAAGAAAATATATTATTTAAAGACAGCGACAGGGACTGGATCTATAATTTCACGGGTAAAGTGAACTACCACTGCAAATCTCTGCAACTTCAGTCTTAGAGAAGAAAGGCAGCATGCATGATTTGAACCTAGTTCTTCCTATCTCTTGACTCACTACACCAAGCTATTCAAAGATATTCTTTAAAACGAGGACATGATAATGGCTCATATTGTGATAATGTAAAATACTATAAAAGGAGTAAAATCAAACATTTCATAATCAATCATGAGAAACAAATGCTGTTCAATACTTTACCGTGAAAACTCAGGCCATGCTTCACAAACTCCCTTTTCTCTCCATCTCAAAAACCACTGCCACTATTTTCAACTCTTTCCTTCTCTACTCTAGTCTCTGATAGTAACAACACTCTCTTCAGTCTTCTCCAGCATATTGTTCCCTTTAATCTTCCACCTCTAACTACTGGTTCCTTCCCAATTGCCTTAAAACATACCCAAGACTCCAGCTTTAAAAAGAAAAAACGACCAAAAAGCCCTTTACTAAACCCCAACACACCTTTGTTAGATTGCCAATCAGTTAAATATTACTTATTAAGTCCTTGTAATTTGCCAGGTACTATGCTAAATTTTGTGTTTACAGAAGAGAGTAAAAATACAGAAATGGTCTCTGCCTCCAAGGAGCTTATTTACTGATGGAGGCATGTAAATAAACAGGTATATATAAGATATAGAGTGGAAGGAAAATAACCTCAGAGGGAAATTATCAAGTGGCTGGGAGGCAGAGGACGATAAAAGCCTCTTGTCAATGAAGGTAGGGCAGGATAGATTTCTGTACCCCATTTCCTGTATTTCTTATTTCCCAGTTGCCTGTGAAAACATTTTTTTTAAACATGTGTTTTTAAAACTTTGGGTTCCAAATTTTCTCCCTTCCTTCCTCCCCACCCATCCTCATTGATAAGGCAAGCAACTAAATATAGGTTATATATGTGCAGTTATGCAAAACGCTTCCACAGTAGACATGCTGAGAAAAACTAACTCTATTTCCCTTAATCCTATCCCACCCACCCACTTATTCTATTCTTTCTTTTGACCCTGCCTCCTCATAAGTATTTGCTTCTGATTACTCCCTTTTCCAATCTGCCCTCCTCTGTATCATCCCCCTACTCTCTTGTCCCCTTCCCCGCCATTTTCCTGTAGGGTAAGACAGATTTCCACACCCAATTTCCACACCCAATGTATGTTATTCCCTCCTGAAGTCAAATCCTATGAGAATAAGATTCACTCATTCCCTCTCACCTTCCCCCATTTCCCCTCCACTGTAAGAGCCTTTTCTTTTCTGTTTATTTTTTTTCCTGTGGGATAATTTACCCCGTTCTACCTCTCCCTTTCTCCTTCTCCTAGTATAATACTCTCACCCCTTAATTTTATTCTCTGGCTATGACCCCTTCATTTTCAACTCACCCTGTGCCCTCTCTATCTATCTATCTATATCTATATATACATACATATAATTTTTTCCCCTCCAACTACCCTAATACTGACAAAGGTCTCATGAGTTACAAATACTATCTTTCCATGCAGGACTGTAAACAGTTCAACCTTAATAAGTCTCTTATGATTTTCTCTTTCCTGTTTACCTCTTCATGTTCCACTCGAGTCTTGTATTTGAAAATCAAATTTTCTATTCAGCTCTGGTCTTTTCATCAAGAATGCTTGAAAGTCCTCTATTTCACTGAAAAACCATTTTTTCCCCTGCAGAATTATACTCAGTTTTGCTGAGGTGATTCTTGATTGTAATCCAATCTTCTTTGCTCTCCGGAATATTATATTCCACGCCCTGCGGTCCCTTAATGTAGAAGCAGCTAAATCTTGTGTTATCCTGATTGTGTTTCCACAATACTTGAATTGTTTCTTTCTGGCTGCTTTTAATATTTTCTCCTTGACCTGGGAACTCTGGAATTTGGCTACAATATTCCTAGGAGTTTTCCTTTGGGGATCTCTTTCAGGAGAAGATCAGTGGATTCTTTCAATTTCTGTTTTGCCCTCTAGGTCTAAAATATCAGGGCAGTTTTCCTTGAAAATTTCTTGAAAGATGATGTCTAGGCTCTTTTTCTGATCATGGCTTTCAGAGAGTCCAATAATTTTTAAATTCTCTCTCCTGGATCTATTTTCCAGGTCAGTTGTTTTTCCAATGAGATATTTCACATTGTTTTCTAATTTTTCATTCTTTTGGATTTGTTTTACAGTGTCTTGATTTCTCATAAAGTCACTAGCTTCCAATTGCTCTATTCTAATTTTTAAGGAAGTATTTTCTTCAGTAATCTTTTGGACTTCCTTTTCCATTTGGCCAATTTGCTTTTTAAGGCATTTTCTCCTCATTGGCTTTTTGGACCTCTTTTGCCATTTGGGTGAGGCTATTTTTTAAGGTGTTATTTTCTTCAGTATTTTTTTGGGTCTCCCTTAGCAAGCTGTTGACTTGTTTTTCATGATTTTCTTGCATCACTCTCAGTTTTTCCTCTACTTCTCTTACTTGCTTCTAAAGATCTCTTTTGAGCTCTTCCAAGGCCTGGGACTGATTCATATTTTTCTTGGAGGCTTTGGATGTAGAAGCTTTGGCTTTGTTGTCTTCTTCTGGTTGTATGTTTTGATCTTCTTTGTCACCAAAGTAAGATAATATAGTCTGACTCTTTTTGCGCTGCTTACTCATGATCTCAGCCAATTTCCTGAGTTTTAAACTCTTTGTTAAGGTAAAAGTCTGCTTCCAATGTGAAGAGTGTACTGTCCCAAGCTTCGGGGGTTTGTACAGCTGTTTTCAGAGGTACTGCTAGGGAACTGTAAATTTTTAGTTCTTCCAAGGTGGTATGATAAGGGACGAGGTGTTTCCTCTCCACAGCCACAACAAGCTTCACCACACTAGCGATCCTCCTCGCCCCAGGACCGCCCCTCAGAACTATGATCCAGATCCAAGCACTGGTAAAGCAAGAGATTCCTGCCTCAGCACTGGCAAAGAGATCCTTGCAATCCCCCTCTGATCAGCCACTCGATTCCCCATCAGTCTGTGGGCTGGAAGCTCAGGAAACAGTCACTGCCCCATGCTGCGCTCCAGACTTGCGGCTGAGACCTAGCTCCTCTCTCACCGCAGTCACAGACTTTTCCCACTGACCTTCCACATTGTCTTTGGCGTTCCTGGGTTGAGAAATCTGGAAACGGCCACAGCTGCCTGCGATTTAGTCCTCTTGAGGCCTGCTCCAGGGTCACTGCAGCCTGCATGCCCACGCTGAACTGTGCTCCTCTCCCCGCCCGGCGCAATATACCTTTCTGATCAACCATCCAGGCCGTCTTCGGCTGCAGATTTGTTTCACTCTGTCTTTTTGTGGGTTCTGCTGCTTTAGAATTTGTTAGGAGCCATTTTTTTAGGTATTTGGAGGGCTTTGGGAGAGAGCTCAAGACAGTCACTGCTTTCCCTCCGCCATCTTGGCTCCGCCCCTCACAAAAGGTTACTTTGAAAAGGGGTCCACAGACTTTACCACACTACTAAAGGGGCCTACGATACAAAAAAAGTTAAGAACCCTCCTCTACGTCCTCTTGGTGCAGTATATTGTATTACAACACTGGAAGGTGAAGTAGAAAGAATATTAGTCTTGGATTAAAGAGATTTAGATTCAAAGTATGTCTCTGATAGTTCCTGTGTGACCACTCAACCTCTTTATTCATTAGATGCTATGAGTATAAATATTCTTAATAGAGATGACTCCCAGAGCTATATATCCAGCCTCAGCCTTTCCTGATCTCAAATGCCATATGTCCAAAAGAGAACTCATTATGATTATCCCCAAACCTACTTCTCGCTTCCAAATTTTCCCATTTTTAGGAGCACCATCAGTTTTCTAGTCTTCTGAGTTAATAACCTCCATTTATCCTTGCCTTCTCTCTCTGTCTCATCTTCTACATCGAACCAGTTGCCAAATCTTGCTGGTTTTTTTTTTACCTTTACATTTCTCAAATTAGACCCTTCCTCACTACTCACAAAGTTACAACCTCAGCTCAGGGCCTCATCACCTCTCAGCTTAACTATTACAATGGTTTCCTAACTGGTCTCACTGCTCAAAGGTTCTCCTTCCTCCAATCCATCCTCAAGAAAACTGTCAAAACGATTTTCCTTAAGTACAGGTCTGACCATATCATTCACCTAACCAATGAATTCCAATATCGAACTATTACTTCTAGGACAAAATACGAACTCTTCTGTTTGGATCTCAAAATTCTTTTGACATGGCCCTAACCTTAACTTTCCAACTTCAGATCCATGTCTCCCCTTCCCTCACTCTGGCCTTCTTGCTGTTCCTCACATGTGGTATAAATTGATCCTGTCCATTTATTACAGAAATAATTCATTAAAAGGAAAAAAAATGTCTAAAGAAGCAAAAATTGTGACTATTTTCATAGACAGGTAAATTAGCTTCAATCTAAAACCATGGCCTTCTCACTCAATGGAGTAACTGGAATTCTTGATTATAATTTTCTGATTTGAAGAAATATACATAGTTACATATATGTGTCCCCAAGAAAAATATATTCTCTTCCTCAGTTCCTACTACACTGAATCACATTTATACAGAGGATTAGTTTATATGATTAATAACAAAAATGATCCCTTCTAGGAGGGAAAAAAAATCTTAATTATTTTAAATGTTGGCAGTTTGAAATCTTCTGAAAAGGACACGTTTCCCCTCCATAATTCAACTTAATTCAGTTATGTGCAAGGCAGTTTTGAACTTTCAAAGCCTGATGGTAAATAACATGGAGAAGACTGAGGGAGGAAGTAGTCTAGGAGAAAACTCACAGGTTCTGGTGTCGGCAAATGCTATGATGGAAAACCAGGAAAGAACAGAAAGTAATCTTAAAAAGACTGATCAATAATCAACCTTAATTTTAACATCCAGACATTTCAGTACATACCATTCGGCATTTGGATGAGATGTTGAGACCATTTGTGGGAAGTCAATCATGGTTATGTGGTCATCTTTATCCAGCATGAGATTGAATTCATTGAAATCACCATGAATTAGTCCATGATTAGCAAGTTTAATAATTAGTTCCATCGCTTCATTATACACTGCTGCAGGATCTTCAATATGATGTACCTGGCACCTAATACCATTTAAAATGCAAGAAAAGCATTAATACAGACAATTTTAATTTATCACGTCTAAGAAGTCATACATACACGTGCTGTTTAATGTACTTGTATCACTTAAATGCTAATTTATTATTCGATTGTGATCATGATGGGAGTTTACTTGAAATTCAGTGAACAAAAGATTTTGAAGATACATTTAAAAATTTAGGGCACTTTTCTCAACCAGTATTCTAGAACAGAGATGTTAAACTTGCTGCCCTTGAGGCAGGAACCAGATAATACTAAAATTGGGGAATGCTTAACAAAAAACAAACAATACAATGTAGATGTTAATTTGTGGTTTTCTAAGTTAATATGCAGCCTGTAGGATCCTTTTCTATTTGAGTTTGACATCATTTTTCTAGATATATCAGTGTATTCTGAAATATGTTATGGCTATCAGGTATTATAAAGTCCCAATTTCAAACCAAAATTGAGTTTTCAATCTATTTTTATGTTCACTCTTTTAAAATCAATCTCTAAAATCACTAAAATAGTATTACAGTTAGTTCTTTAAAAAAATTAGAACTTTGTTTACTAAGAATTTATGCTTTAAAAATAATACTTACAAAGGGTAACCATTTATGAGTTCCATGACAACTGCATGTCGATTATAATCGATTGGTTTTGGAACTGGGAATTTCCTCTCATAGAGTGCCTGAAAGAATGAAAAGCACATAGAGCTAAAAAGAAGATCAACATTCAAAATGAGATATCAGTTCAGCTGATTAACACTTAGCTCCTTTTAGCCTCTACCCATTAAGCTTAGTTCTGTCCTCTGGAGATATACTAGTAGGTGGTGTTCCACATGAAAATCTTTCAAATATTTTGGGTCCTTTTCTGTCTAGCTTAAAAGTATGGTGTAACATATTTTCAGTTCTTTATTATGTGCTTCTACCAATGCAACCTAAGACAACACTGACTTTTGGGGAAACCACTTTCTACCATCGGTACATACTGAACTTGCAGCCAACCAAAACTGATTTTTTTCAATCCACATGAATTGCTATTAAGCACATTTCTCCCACTCTCTACTTCTGTTGCCAAGCATAAGTATAGGACATTTCTTGAAATGAAAGAATGGCAAAGGACTAATTTGGGATGCCAGTTTCCAATGAGATTATTTCTTTGCCAGCTGAATTTGATTTAGGGTAGAGAAATCACACTATTCTGGCTGTTATTCTTCTAACACTTGTGGTACCCTAGTCTCTAATTTATGATTTTGTTTGTTTGAACAATCTATTACAGGAATCAGCTGAGTGATAAGGTAGATACAGCACCTGACAGGGAGTTAGGAAGTCATGAGTTCAAATCCTATCTCAGACACTTAATAACATTGTAACGCAAGTCACTTAACCTTTCTCAGCCTCAATATCCTCATCTGTAAAATGAGGATAAAAATAGCACCTAGCTCACAGGATTGTTATAAGGATCAAATGAGATAACACATATAAAGTGCTTTGTAAACTTTAAAATGTTAAAAATAAATGCTATTAATAAAAAAGCATTTAAGCTTTATGCACTTATGCAGCTGAAGCCACTTACATATGCTGTCTTCCCTTTTTAGAATAAGTTCCTTGAAAGCAGTGACTATCTGGCTTTTCTATTTGTATCTCAAACATTTAGCAAAGGTTTTTGCACTGTAATCAAGAGCTAAGCAAATGCTTCTCCATTCAGTCATTAAGCACCTAGTATGTACCAAAATATTCACTTTATGGTTGTGCCAGTGTACCTACTTCTTACTTGGGGGCTTATAAAAAGATGCCATTTCTATCCAGTGGTCTCAAGACCTACATATATTTTAATGATATAGTAGCTAACACTTATATAATGCATTAAGATTTGCAAAGTGTATTTCATATATTGTCTCACTGGATCCTGACAACAACCCTATGAGATAGATGTTCCATCATTATTCCCATTTTGCAGATGACAAAACTGAAGCAGAGAGAATGACTTGCCCAGGGTCACAGAGCTAAGTAAATTTCAGAGAGGGGATATGAACTCAGGTCTTCTTTGTATCACGTCCAGCACTCTGTCCACTGCTCCACCTAGCTGCTTCAAGGTTTATGAACCATTCAGGAATTGTTCTTCATCTTCTGGTCAGTGTTTTTTCCTCCCTCTTTAGTAATATTAGTCTCACTGTGATGACAGAGTCTTGGCACAATAAACGATGGGGAATTGATTTTTAAAAGTAAAAATTTCCCCCCAAAGACAGTTCCTGGCAGCAGGGCTTGGTAGCAAAGTGGGGAGAGCTTGCTTATTCCTCATCCCTTAATCCAGCGAATGCGCTAACCCAACTTCAGCCCTGTGGCGAGGATTTCCAGGGTTGATGCCCTGACATTCACTGTTCTCTAAAATAAAATCTCAGAGATGTAAAGAACTTCAGACATGATCTAGTACAATCGATAAATCTGGACAAGAGCTGTCTCCTACAACATCTCCAGAATGGTTATCCAGGTTTTTTCCTAGATAATAAGCCTCTCTGAATTCAGTCCAAGATCATATTAGCTTTTTTAGTTCCCTCTGTGTCTCTGTTTATTTTCCCCATGCCTGTAATATTCTCAGCTCTAGTTCTATGTCTTAAATGATACAAACATTTATTAAGAGCTTATGTGCTGGTGACTGTGCTAAGCACTTAGTGACATAAAGAAAAACCATAAACAGTTCCTGTTCTTGAGGAGCTTACATTCCATTATGGGATACAGCATATAAATAAATATATATATATATATATACACACACACACACACACACACATATATAAAAATAATATATATTTGATACATATATATCAAAACATACAAAATATACACTAGTTTTAAGCGACAAATATGTTCCCCAAAAGTTGAAATTTAATAATTTAAAAGGTACTACAGAAGCTTCCTATACTTTAGAAATCATCTAGTCTATTATACCTCTCCTCTTTCCTAAATTTAGGTTTTAATTCCCCGGATTTTCTTTGGGGGAAGGCAACGGATAGAAGGCCTTGTTAAAGGTGTCATTGGACATAGTAGCTACTGAAAAAACCACCATCTTGCCTATAGAAGAATGGGAATATGGAGAAGGAAATGAGAGAGAAGGAGGGAAGGAATTTCAATTAAGTTGAAACCTGAGCAATTCAACTGTGCTAGGTAAAAAGCTTAGGCAAGTGAGGTCACAGAGGAAAACAATGTATCTTTCCAGACTTCCTGGCTATTACTCCCTTCTCCTGAACTCTGCCATCCAGCCAAACTGGCCTTCTTGCTGTTTTTAGAGCACTCTGTCTCCTACCTCCATACCTTTGTCCTGATCTTCCACAGACCTGAATGCACTCTCTCCTCACGTCTGCTTCCCAGATGCTGTCTCTTCCTTTAAGATGCAGCTCACGTACCATCGTCTTCATAAAGTCTACCTGTTATGTCCAAACTACCTTGTCTGCACCTTCTTTGTATATGTTTGTATTTGTTAGCTCTACATTTATGCTGCATATATTTTTACATGTCCTTGTTGTCTCCCTTGTCAGATGGAAGCTCACTGTGAGCAGGGATCCTTTCATTCTTCACACTTGCATCCTGCCCAGACACTAGCACACAGCCTGGCACATGGTAGGCACTTAATAAATACTTGCAGATGGCTGACTGAAAGAGATACAGTTTGAATTTGGCTATAATTCCCATGACATAGAGAAAAAAATTTTGCTTTTAAAAATCAATTCCCCACCGTTTGTTGTGCCAAGACTCTGTCATCACAATGAGACTAATATGGCTAAAGAGGGAGGAAAAAACACTGACCAGAAGATGAAGAACAATTCCTGAATGTTCAGAAACTTTGAAGCAGCCTGGCGGAGGAGTGGCCTTAAAGGAAACTTGTTTAAAATTTTGTTAATCAGATTTCATTCCACAGCCCAAAGAGAAGCTAAATCAAGTGGTGCTCTCCTTGCTTTTGCCTGACACTTCTGCAGATGCCAAGGTGATAAAATTACTTCTGGGCTCCGGGGCCTTAACATGCTGCCTGTTCTCTTTGTGTGGCCCAATCCTGACTCAAGGCAATACTCCATAAAGGAGCAAAAAGAGATCTCACTACTTCAGCCCTGCTACCTCATCACCACAAAATACCCATTTATGTGGGGGTGGATGCTGAGGAGCAGGAGGGCCTTTCTACAGTTTCACTCTCCATGGGTGGAGGCTGCTCACTTTAGCCTTATGGAATCTCTGAAAATCAGGGGATTTGTTTTTAGGAATCTTAGGAGATAAACTGGGAATCCAGATTTCTATATTTGTACCAATTAACTTGGCAATCAGACCCTCAAACCACAACATTAACACTATCCAGCTAGTCATAAGTGTATGTGTAGAAAATTTGTACCAATAATTATTTCAGACTGCTGCACAGAGTTAAGGAAGAAATATGCAAAACTGAGTGCAAATATTTATAATTAAAAGTACCTTCATATAGGCAAATTCCTTCATGGCAGACAAACGGGATAAATAAAGCCATGACATATTATGTCTGTGCTTGTGGTAATCACGTTTGTTTTTCAAATTACGGAATGAAGTCCTTCCTAGTCTGTGAAGCTTTAGTGCAAACTGTTTTTCCTCTTCATTTGCAACAATGTAAATATCTGTAGTTCAAAGAGTGAAAAAGTCATTATTATTACATGCAGAGTAATTTTTCCTCTTGAGTTACATCAATTCTAATATGCCATCATTACTTTATTTAAATTTCTGTTTCTGTAAAAATGACATTTTCTAATACAGGTAATTAGAAAGCCTATTGTCCACATTATGTCAATCTACAGCTGGAGGGACAACCTACAGAACTGGTCCTTCAGTATATGTATCTGGAAGAGACGACTTTTTGTCCTTCAGTTGCTTCAGTCATGTCTGACTCTTCATGACCCCATTTGGGTTTTCTTGGCAAAGATACTAGGTGGCTTGCCATTCCTTCTGCAGCTCATTTTACAGATGAGGAATTGGGGCAAATAGGATTAAGTGACTTGCCCAGGGTCATACAACTAGAAGGTATCCAGATTTGAACTCAGGAAGATGAGTCTTCCTGACAGCAGGCCCACACTCTATCCTCACTGTGGCACCTAGTGGTCCCTGAAGAGACACTGAGCAAAAAGTCTGGCCCAAAATCAAACAGGCAGAACAGAATGGGGCAGATAGCTTTTGAAAAACTGGTCAGAGTCTTTTCTCCCTGGGAAAAAAAAAAAAGAGCGATCTTTTGAATACCAGACACTGAACACACATCTTCAACCAATAAATAGTACTCTGAGAGAAATGGTATAAAGGATGTCATCAGAGATAGCTAGTTGCAACTGGTAAAGTAGGTGGGCCAGTCATGGAATGAGACAGGCAGATGACTGATAGTCCTCATGTTCCACTCATAACCAGGCAATGCCAAAAGCATTGCAGTGGTCTTTAAAGTGGGATGTGCTGCAAAGAAAACTTTTATTTATATTTATTATCTTAAATTAAGCTTTACTATTATGCAGACTGATAGCAGTACCCTCAGTTAGGCTGCATGTCAGACCATGTCAGTCATATATGTCTTGTATGACACATGAAGTTTTCTCAGGGAAGACTGAGGAGTTCCCTACCATAGAGGGATTAATGATGACTTTCACCTGTTGGTTCATTTTCAGCAAATTGTGATGTATTACAGTTTTCTGTGTTCCTGGGTAAGTGGATTTATGGATATTATCTAGTTATCTAAATTAGCCTTCAAAACAGACAAACGTTATAAGTAATGTTATAAAGAAATCTCTATAAGCACAAGAAAATGGCAGAGCTAACAATTTACTCCTATGAGCTGTCAGTCACATTATAAGGTTAAAAATGGTGATAAATCAATTAAGATCTGACAAGGCGGACAAAATAAATTTGAAATTGTCAAGATTATTTGAAATATAGATTTATGTCAATTATTACCAATGATGGACTTCACTCTGGGTGTACTTTGTAGTCTGCTTTAATAGCTATGGCTTTAAGGCCTATAAAGTGCTTTACACGTTATTTTTTTTTTTAGTTTGATTCTCACAATTCCATGAGCTAAGTATTATATACTTGAATTTTACAGATAAACTGTGTTTCAGAGGAGTAAAATGATGTCACAGCTTGTAAGGGTAAAAGGATTGGCCTATTTTCCTAGAATTAAGAGCACAAGTCCAATGCACTAAAGACTAGAAATTCCTTTAGTGTTATTTTTAGAACAGTTTTTATGTACATTCTATGACACCACAAGACAGGCCTGCATAACTTGTAACCTGCCAAAGGATTTCCGGTGGCCCGTGAAAAATGTAGAGGAAAATATCCTGCCTGAGGGCTGCTTATGGCCCACAGGCCACAGGCTGTGCAGGCCTGCTATAAAACTGTTCAAATGAAAATATTTATGGTCCTTGGATATTCACTTATTCTGAATATCCTCACTGGATTGTAACTGCTTGTTAAAAGATATTTATAATAGTTTAGTATCATGACAAAATTTAAGAGTAATTTTTTTAAAATAAAGAAAAACAAAATGATTATGTTTGAAGACAATATACTAGAATACTCACAAATAGAGTAGCTTTAACTTGAAGACTTGTACGAACTGATGCAAAGTGAAATGAGCAGAACCAGGAGAACAACTTAGACAATAATAGCAATATTGTGAAGGTAATCAACTGTGAAATATTCTGTAACTGACACAATGAGTCACCACAATGATGAATCATGTTATTCACTTCCAGACAGAGAGTGGATGGACTCAAGAGTGCAGAATGAAGCATATTTTCTTCTATTTCTTTCTTTTTTTTTGAGGGGTGGGGGGGGAAGTAGCTAATGTGGGAATTTGTTTTATATATACATATTTTTAATAGTTCCCTCCCCCCTTACCTTCTTTATGGCTGGAGGGAAAAAAATTTGGAACTGGAAATTAAAAACAAAACAAAAACAAAAAAAACAAACAACAAACCCATGAATAGCTTTTAGGGTTTTTTATAGGCTTTTTAATCTTGGCTTTGCTACTAACTATCTGTGTGACCTTAAACAAGTGATTTCACCTTTCTGGGCCAACATTTTCTTCATCTATAAAATAGACAAGATGACCTCTAACCCTTATGGCTCTAAGTCTATGGCACTAATTATTAATATCTGGAAAAAAATTTATAACTCAGAAAACTAAAGAAGTCTTTCTTTTATTTTCTATACAGATACCAGTCTATTTATACACTGATACATAGCAGAAGAAAGAGAAAAAAGAATAAAGGAGAAGGGAAGCTAATAAAAAAAAAAAAAAAGAAAGGAATTCAACATTTCAGAAAATTACCTGATTCTTTGCCAACACCCATCTGGTTTCCAACAGAGTCAACCACCTGTCTTGAAGAAAGCGCTTTCAAAGCGAGGTAATCATAACCTGCATTTGTCAATCGATAGCCTTGGACAGCTGAAAAAGGAAAAAAAGAAAATTCTTTTTAGTTACATACTTGCTCTATAATCATGTCTGTTAATGGGTTCTAATTCTTATGTTATTCTCACTTTCTAAAATATATACTTTTTCCTTGAGGATCTCTTGATGAAGTTTTAATATTACTGTTTTTTTTCTTCTAAACACAGAAGCTATACTACATACTTTTTTTTGGGATGTATTCTGTTTATGTTAAAAAGCATTACTTACATTGACCTTAAAGGCATTTGCCTATCCTTTATATCCACCTGACACTAATTATCATTTAGCAGCTACAATGTATTATCATATTTTTAGTAACAGCTCATATTCATATATGTTTCTCAAGACTTACAAAGCACTTTCCTTACAACTACTATTATTTTGCAAATGAGAAAACTGAGGGACAGTGAACTGAAGAGACTTGCCTGGGGTCACAGGACTAGAACCAGGACTTGAAACCACATTTTCTGATTTTTAGATAAGTATGTGTTTTCTATTATATCATACTGATGCTCCCATAATATTCCATAATGTTGACGTATGAGTTTGTTCATCCATTCTCTATTTAGTTTTGAAATCAAGAATAATGAGGCTCTATCTCCAGTTAGACAGTCTTATGTTTTGGTAATGGTTCTAGTTTATATTTAAAAAGTAGAAATTACTGTTTTTATAATTTGCACTGTACTGTCAGTTTGTCTTCCCCAAAGAATTCAATGCACATTGAAACCATTAGATGAAAGGCTGTACAAATATCATTTATCCAACTTCTATAGTTGAGGAAACTAAGGCTAACTGACTTGCCTAAGGTCATAAGAGGTAGAAAGTAACAGTCACAACTAAAGCCCAGGGCTTTGATTTAACTATAACGCTCTTTTCAGATTGTTGGATTTGAGTGCCTGAGAAATGTACGTAAGGCAGGTGTGGAAAATACGAAAGAGAAGAAAGACAGTCTCTGCCCTCGTGAACTTTAGTCTAGTAATAGAGATAAAATAATATGTACATAATTCCTCGTATTGTACAGGCCATCTCATGTTCCTACTCTGTTGTTGAGAATTCTACTCTCTACTTTAGATTTTCTCATGACCATTCTATTTTCTTACATTCAGAAAAACCTGGCTTTCCTCAGGAGCTCCCTCGTCTGTTGTCTCTTTTCAGTACTGGCTGTTCCTTCTTTCACACACTGAGTCAGAAGGAACCAAAATACACATTGCTGTCCACTACTCCCCTGCTGCTTTCAGATTCTCCGCCTTCAAGGATCACTCTGTTGGACTATATCATGTACCTGGTTCTTGTCATCTGGCACTTCCAGGGTCACTCTCACACTTTTCTTGAGGAATTCAGTCTTTATCTCCACATACTTCTTAATGTCCCTTTGAATATTCTCAATTCCCATGACCACCAGGGATCTCACCACCACTCTAAACTGTGCCACCTCCGTGATTTTGAACTCTAAAACTATTCCTCTCAATCATAATATACTACCCTTGAATTTCTTCCTCTGCTTTTCTGTTCTGAGGACTAGTTTTGTCCTCATTCTGACCTCAATTCTACTCCTTGAGGATCTCCTAGTTTTTCACCCCTCCTTTGGCTTCACTTTCTTCTTCTCACAGTAATTATACTATTAATCAGTTATCCAGTTAAACACAGTCCTAGAGCCCCAATCTCTAGCCAATATTCTTCTGCAGTTTACACCTTGCCAATTACAAAGTCTGGGTAACCCCCACCATCCACCTTCTCTGCTTTTACTCCTGTGGTACTCTAAGCCACTACAGGAATTCACACAGCTATTCTTACTGAGTTCATAAGGAATTTATGTTACTTAATCGCAACCAAGCCCACACTATAATCCTTTGGAGATAATATCTGTGTTAACTACTTCAAGGAGTTACACTAAGGATCAAATAAGATAACACTGTAGAGTCAAAGTGCTACATATATGTCATTTATTCCCTGATACTCATATTATTTACAGCAGCTGTTCCAAATCTTTTCCTAAAGCCCCTAGTATTATTCATCCTGTCTTTCAACAGATGGCCTTCCTGCCCACTTTGCTGAGAAAACCCTGGCCATTCATTTTGAATCTTCATTTCCCCTACCTTACATCTCACCCATCTTTTCTCCTTTGTTCTAATCTCTAAGAGGTAGTCCTTTCTGACATAGCCAACCACAGTATGTCTGCCCCTGATCCCACCTCTTCCTCCAGGAACAGGCCCTAGCAGTCATTCTCATCACCCTTCCCTTCGTCCATCTCCCCCTTTCTACTACTTCTTCCACACTCCTTACAAACATCTGCAGCCTTCTCTCATGATGTTGAAAAGTAGGCCACTAGGTGGACTGAGTGTGTGCTGTTCTATCTCTTTCAAGAGGAGCTAAGGATGCGTGTATAAACACTGCAAGAAAGGAAATTTAGATTTATATGAGGCAGGTTGAAAGATCAAAGCAGAAATGTTTATTAGGATTATGGTGAAGTATGGTGAACTTTTTATAATGACTTCTTGGAAATTTTTCAATACTGCTAGGAAAGTCTTACTATTCAGTGTTTATAATAAATATTTTTTTAATATTAAAAAAACAAATAAACACTAAAACTTCTAAAAATAGCCCTAAACTCCCAGAGACTTTAAGCAGATCTTTGGAGACAAATATGAACAATAAAACATGAAGCTTTTAACATTTTTTTCTAGGTGCTATCTAAATAATGGCAAGAGGTAGCAAAGTATAAATGATATATATGATAAGAGTTATAAATGATAAGAGTTCTGGATTTAAAGTCTGAAAGATCAGGACTCAAATCTAGCTACATAATTCTGGGCGAGTCACTTAAATTCTAAAACAGGTTCTTAACCTAGGGTCCAGTGAACTAGCTTTCAAAAAACATTCTGATAACTAATTACAAACAACTGTTCCCCTTATAATCCTATGTATTTTGTGCATTTAAAACATTACTCTGGGGCAGATAGGTGGCCCAATGGATAGAGCTCTGGACTTGGAGTCAGGAAGACCAGAGTTCAAATCCAGCCTCAGACACATAACATTTACTAGCTGTGTGACCCTGGGCAAGTCACTTGACCCTGACTGCCTCACCAAAAAGCAAAAAAACCCAACCAAACAAAAAAACTCAACATTATTTAGATGTTTATAGGCTCTACCAGACTGCCAAAAAGGTCCACTGACACAAAATATGTCAGGAATCCTTGTCCTATGTTATCTTCCTATGTAAACTCTTGGATTTACCCACAAAGTCAGAAAGGGAGGCTGACCCACATCATCTTAAGGAGTTGGCTATGTTGAGAAAAATCAGATTCTTTTCACATTAAAAAATCCAAAAAAAGCATGTCAATGTTACATATGCATTCATAAAATGAGCTGTATAATACTTACTTTTCGTTCGTTCATAAGCTAAGAGTTTATGTTTTGCCAGTTCTCTCAAAATCTTATTACAACCACCATGTTTAAGGCTGGCTATGGAGGCAATCAAACTGCAAGGAACTATTTCATGGTTCTTCATGCCCATTTCGACCTGAAGTTAAAAACACACAACAAATAACAACACATATGCAGCTTCTAAAATGATTCTTCTCTAACTGCTAAAACAAACACAAATGTATCATCTCAGCTCTTTTAAAATGTCTTGTTTTACTTAATGCACTAGAAGCTGAGATGTACAAAAAAAGGGCAAGTTTTTAAATGATATAAATCTTGAGACTAAGAACTTTAAAATAGATTTTTTAAAAAGCCACAAAACGACTCACTACTGCAAAAGCTGGGTAACTTAAGTTCAAATTACCTAAGTGACTTTTAGCTTTACAAGATAATCTAGGGCAGGAAGGCTGATATATAACCCTTCTATTTCCCCCAACACATAAACACACAAACAAGAACACTTGAAAGCTTAGCTCAGTGCCTGGCATACAGCAAGTGCTTAATGAATGTTTACTGGTTCAAAGAACTCCTTTGAAGACAGATTGTGTGAAGATGGTGGAATAAGGCAGGAAATTATCTGGCTCTCTCAAACTGCTTAAAACAACACCTCAAATTGAATTTTAGAATGGCAAAAATAGTTCAAAAATTAGGGTAAAGCAGTTGTCCAGCCCAAGATAACTTAGGACAATAGGGAAAGATCTGACCCACAAAGTGGTGCTACAGCTAGAGTGAAATGCTTTGGTAACCAAAGCAAGCCTTGGGGGCAGTTGTATCAGCTTAGGGAAATTTCACCCAGGCAAGTTGGGGTGGATGGGCAGTGATCAAGGGAAGATTGCAGGGGGTGGGATGTAGTCCCTCCGCTGACAGTGGACATGGGGCCCAGATGCTTAGATGCGGTTCCAGGCTGTGGCTATGGGAGGAGCAGCAATGTGCACATTTGGGTGAGTAAGATCAGAGAGGTGGGGCTCTGCTCATGGAGAGGTCTGGATGTGGTCACTCACAGGAACATCAGTTCCAGGGCAGAGGGGTGAATGGATATTTGGGCAGTGGTGCATTTCCAGGATTTCGAGGAGTAAGAGCATTTGGGGCGGCAGTGGTGATGGGGTTGGTGGTGGTGGTATGGGTTTGCTGGTCTTGGCTCAGGAACAAAAAAGAGTACCTGTTGGATACAACTAATTTCGTAATCTCATTTTTATGAAATTCAGGGCCCTGAACCCTACTTGTCCCCCTCCCAATTTGACTGAAACTCACTTCTTCCCCCTACCTTAACAGAAAGTCAACAGCCAAGAAACAGACCATTAAAAAAAAAAAGAACCCGGCCATATATAGTAACTATGGTGATAGAGATCAGGGTTCAAATTCAGAAAACAATAAAGTCAAAACAGCTACTTGTAAAGCTTCAAAGAGAATGTAAAATGGTCACAAGCCCCAGAAGAATTCTTGGAAAAGCTTAAAAAGGACTTTAAAAATCAAGTAAGAGAGGTAGAGGGAAAACTGGGACAAGAAATAAAAGTAATGTAAGAAAATTATGAACAGTTAGAAAAAGAGGTCCAAAAACTTACTTAAAAAAATAACTCCTTAAAAATTACAATTGGGCAAAGGGAAGCTAATGACTTCATAAGACATCAAGAAATAATAAAACAAAATCAAAAGAATGAAAAAATTGAAGACATCATAAAATATTTTATTAGAAAAAAAGGACCTGGAAAACAAATTAAGGTGAGATAATATAAGAATTGTTGGATCACCTGAAAGTCATGATCAAAACAACTGTCCAGACATACTTAAAGAAATTATTAAGGAAAATGACCTAAGTTAAGAACTGGAGAGTAAAACAGGAATTGAAAAAAATTCACCCATTGCTACCTGAAAAAGATCCCAAAATGAAAACTCACAGGAACATTACAGCTAAGTTTCAAAGCTCTGAGGTTAAGGAGAAAACATAACAAGCAACTAGAAAGAATTCAACTATTGTGGAGCTACAGTGGAAATAACACAAGATTTAGCAGCTTCTACATTTCAAAAGGCATGGAACATGGGATTCTGAAAAGCAAAGGAGCTAGATTTGCAACCAAGAATAACCTATCCAGCAAAGCAGAGTGTGAAATGGACATTTAATGAATTTAAAGGATTTTTAGGCATTCTTGGGGAAAAGATCAGAACATCTATTGATACTAAGTGTCTAAGGTTAGATCTGAACTTAGGACTATGAGTCTTCCTGGCTTCAGGACAGGCACCTCGCTGCCCCTTAGCACAGTGTCTGACAAAATAAGAGGTGCTTAGAAAATGTTAGTTGACTGATTTAACCTCTGTTTCCTCATCTGGAAAATGGGAAGGAAAACAACAGTCCCTGTCTCTCGCAGGGTAACTGTGAGGAGCACAGGAGAGAACACACGTGAGGGGCATCGCAAACCTTCAAGTGTTTCATACACGACTGTTGAGCCCGGAAGCTCGAGGGGCCGGTCCCGGGGCCCCCGGGGGCGGGGCGGGATTCCGCACTTAACGGATGAGCGTGCCCCCTCCCCCGCCCGCTCCCCGCACTTCTCCCAGTTCTGCTCGCCCCCGCCGTGCCCCCCGCTCTGCCCTCCTGCCGTGCATCCCCCCGCCCCCAGCCGTGTCCCCCGCCCGCTCCCTGCCGGTTGCCGCCCAGCCGATCCAAACGACCCGGGGCCTGGGAACGCCGGGCAGCCACAAGTGCCCGCCCATTTTTTCCGGGACAGTCTGTCCCGGTGGATTCGCTCCCTTCCTCCTGCAGGCCCGGATCCCCGGCCCGCGCCCGACGGAAGAAAGCCGAGAGGCCGCACCCGCTGGGCTGGGGTCCGGAGATGTCGGGGCCGGCGCACCCCGGGTCTTACCGCGGTCAGAACCCTGAAGTCGTCCCGTGACAGGTAGCGCAGCTTGGCCACGTTCACCTTCCCCATGGCTGCTCCAAGAAACAGCGAGCGAGAGAATGCACCCAGCGCGCGTGCGCGAGCGAGAAGGCGTCTCGGGCGCATGCGTCCTTTGGCTGCCAGGTCCTTGTCGATATATAAAACCACTTGATTTCCCTTTCAAATGAAAAATAAGCAGTCTTCTTTTTATCGGGGAGCGGGCAAGTTTAGTGTTTGTTACGGTTCATCAAAGAATCGGAACTTAATCCATGGATGTAAAAATGTGCTCTTTCTGGAAGGATTCTTCTTTTTAATCTGCCAGTATTGGCTACCTAGGTGAAGGGTCCTTCCGGGGCGGGCCCGGGAGATTGACTAGTGGTGGGCGGAGCAGTTTTTTTCAGGTTAGCTTCTATTGCTGCCGCCTGGCACCGTGGTCTCCTGAAGAGGCTGAGAGAGACAAAGACAAGGCTGAGGGCTTTGGACTTAGAGAAGCTAAGGTAAATAAATGAATAATAAAATAAAATCAACCTGGAGGAAAAGTCAAGGCCCCTGGTAGCACCTGCCCGGATAAAATGCTGGTCAGAGTGGTTTAGACTCACCGTTATGTGCTGGAAAGGGGGTGGATTTGGAAGTACTGATTCGAATCCTGGAGGTGACATTTACCAGCTTGTGCATGCTGGGCAAATCGTGACACCTCTCTCAGCCCAATTCTAATCCCCATCTGTAAAATGGGGGTCAGAACCCTTTTTCTTGCAAAGGAGTTGCACATTGTGAAGCTTAAAACACAATGTAAATGGAGTTTTCTAGTGAAGCAGCATGGAGCAGCTGTGGGTGGCTGGATGTGGAGTGCAGAAGACCTAATTTAAATCCTGTCTCAGATACTTACCATCTAGGTGACTCAGGGCAAGTTGTTTAACCTCTCTGTGCCCGAGTTTTCTTTCTCTGTAAAAGGAAGTAGGGGAGTGGATTCCATAATCTTTTAAAGTCCCTTCCAGCTCTAAATCTATGATCCTGTTGCCTTTAGGATCAAATATAAAATGTTCTCTTTGGTATTCAACTCCTTTATTAACCTAGCACCCTCCTACCTTTCCAGTTTTCTTACACCTTCATTCCTGACTTGTATTCTTCATTTCAGTGAGAGGCTGTTCCAAGAACAAGACACTGCTTCTCTTGGCTCTGTGCATTCTCTCTGGCTGTCCCGCACCATTCCTGGAATGTTTTCCCTTTTCCTCTCCATCTACTGACCTCCCTAGATTCATTTAAGCCCCAACTAAAATCCCACCTTCTACAGAAAGCCTTCCCCAAGCCCTCTTAATTCCAGTGCCTTCCTTCTGTTAATTATATCCTCTTTAACCTGTATATAACTTGCTTTCTATCTATTTATTGTAAGTTTTGTACAGATTGCAAGCTCCTTGAGGGCAAGGACTATCTTTTGCTTCTTTTTGTAGCTTAGCACATTGCCTAGCACATAATAGACACTTAAAAAGTATTAATTGACTGATTAATCGACTTAATCCCAGCCTCAGTTTCCTCAACTATAAATAAAATATATAAACATAAACTATAATAATATAAATAAATATATAACCTGTACAACATGTTATCTGCACAGGCTATAAATAAAACCATAATAATACATCTACCTCCTAGGGTTATTGTGAAGATTAAAGGAGAGAATATTAGTTAAGTGTTTAGTCCAGTCCTGGCACATAGGAGGCACTATATGAATGCTAGCTACTGTTATGATTAATATTTTACACCTATTTGTATAAGTGTATTCTCCAGTAAATTGTGAAGTCCATGAAAGTGGGGACACTTTATTTTTTGTTTTTATTTTCCAGTATCTTATGTTTAATAAATGTTTGTTGAATTGAACACCTTCCTAAGAGTCACTTGCCTCTTATCTCTCCCCTCTCCACCTGATCTTTTTCCCCCCCCCAAAGCAACTGGGGTTAAGTGACTTACCCAGGGTCACATAGCTAGTAAGTGTCAAGTGTCAAGTGTCTGGTCAGGAGGCCGTATTTGAACTCAGGTCCTTCTGACTCCAGGGCCAGTGCTCTGTCCACTGAACCACCTAGCTGCCCCTCCAGCTGGTCTTTTTTACACAGCTGCCAAAATAACCTTTGTAAGGCACAGCTCTGTGTCACTCCTTACTGGAAAAACTTTCAGTAGCTCCCTGTTGCTTCTATATTAACTGCCAATTCCTCAGGCTGCTGTTCTATAATCTGACTCTGACCTACCTTTTCCAGTCTCATTTCGAATCATTTTCCTTCACAGACTCTTCTTGCCACACTGGATTACTAGGTATTTTCTGAACTCAACATTGTGGCTCCATACATTGCCACAGGTTCTCCTCCATGCCTGGAAGATACTGTATAATCCAACCCTAATTCTCTTCTTCCATTAAGGCTTAACTCTGGGAAATCTTCACTTATCTCCCACCCGAAGGTATTCATTCTAGAGGACTTTAATATTTGCTTTGCTCCTATAATACCCACCTTTTATCATACTTGTCTGTGTACATGCTTTATCCTCCAAAGATACCAGGATCTCTTTGAGGGCAAAGATTGTTTCATTTTTTCTTTATCTCTCTGGTACCTAGCATGATGCCTTATATGTAGTAGTCACTTAATAAATATTTGTTGAATTGTATGCTTATTATACAAGGAATATCAAATGTACTATGTGACTGCTTAATTCCTTCTTTACTTCTCCCTTCCTTTTTCTTTCCCAGCTCCATTTCTTCTGTACCCTTTTCAACCTCCCTTTGTTTCCTTTTTAGTCTTTTTCTTCTCTTTTCAGAATTCTGTTTTCTTTCTTTCCTTTTCTTAGTCTTTCCTAAACTTCCTCTTATTATGCTGCTGCTATTTTAGGGTAATTTGTATGATGTTAAAATTTCTAAATATAAATATGTTATTATAAAATAGCTATACCAGATTTTAGTACTTAAGTTTGGCTAAATGATTATATAGCATTTTCTCACTATGGATTTTATGTATAGTTTTGTACTGAAATATGTGGTACTATATATGTTTATCAATAGATCATTAAGCACTGTCCATCTCTGTAAAGGTAAAGGAAATAGATTGTCCTGTGACATGCATAGGGCCATCTCTCTTAGTCATTGCTAGCAAGATTTTTGCCAGAGTCTTCTTTAATAGGTTGATCCTTCACCTAGAAGATGGTCATCTACCCAACAGCCCGTGTGACTTCAGAAAGGCTGAAGAACTCTTCATGTGATGTTTGTTGCCTGACAACTCCAGGAGAAATGTCGAGAGCAGAGCAATGGTCTGTATACAATGTTCGTTGATCTGACCAAGGTCTTTGATACTGTCAGTCATGAGGGCAATTTGGTTGCCTGGAGAAGTTCATCAGTATCATACATCAGTTTCACGATGGCATGCTTGTTTGGGTTCTGAATGATGGACGATGCTCTCATGCTTTCCCACTCGCCAGTGGAGTGAAGCAAGACTGTGTGCTTGCCCCCATGCTTTTTAGCATGTTTTCAGCAATGTTGTCAGGTGTCTTCAAATGAGGATAAAAACAGCATCAAGGTCAACTACTGGACTGATAATGAATTATTTAATTTGAAAAGACTAAAGCCAAGACTAAGTGGAGGGGGAGCTAGTGTGTGACTTTTTGTTCATGGATGGTTGTACTCTCAATGTAACCTCTGAAGCTGAGATGGAACAAAGTATGGATCAATTCTCTGCTACTTGTGCTAATTTTGGCCTAACAATTAACACCAAGAAAACACAGGTTCTCCACCAGGAAGTACCACACCATCCATATGTGGAACCAGAGAACTTTTGAATACTGTGGATAAGTTCACTTACCTTGGCAGTATACTTTTCAGGGATGTATATATTGAAAATGAGATTGATGCATGCATTGCCAGAGCTAGCTCAGTGTTTGGGAGGATCTGAAAGAATGTGTGGGAGAGAAGAGGTATTAGACTGCATACCAAACTAAAAGTCTGCAGAGCTGTTGTGCTGACCTCATTGTTGTGTGCCTGTGAGATCTGGAAGTATACCAGTGCCATGCCAGGAAACTGAATTGTTTCCATTTGAATTGTTTCAAGGAGATTTTGAAGATCACCTGGCAGGATAAGTTACCTAACCCTGAGGTCCTTTCTTGAGCTGAACTGCCAAGTATTCAAACTTTGCTGCAGAGAACACAACTCAGATGGGCTGGCCATATTGTTCTAATGCCAAATGTGTGCTCACCTGAAAGACTATTTTAGAAAGAACTCATGCAAGGAAGGTGCTCGTATGGTAGTTAGAAGAAGTGATACAAAGACACTCCCAAGGTCTCTTTGCAGAACTTTGGAATTGATTTTGTGGTATGGGAGACCCAACATGGCATGCCCACATCAAAGAAGATGCTGTGCTCTATGAGCAAAGCACAATTGCAGTAGTTCAAAAGAAATATGAAGTGTGCAAATTTAGAGACATCTCCATTCCAAATGTTCACATGGACTATTTGTGTCTGACCTATGGTAAAGCCTTCCGAACTCATATAGGTCGGACCTGACCCCAACATAGTGATGTCATTTTGGTCTTCTTTGAGAACAAAGGACAGTAACCAACCATATATTTATTAATGGATCATTAAGCATTTATTAAGTGCCTACTATCTGCCACTATGGTGGTAGGCACTGGGGATACAAAGACAAAAAAAGAAAGAATCCCTACTCTCAAGGACTTTACATTCTATTCTGGGAGACTATGTATACATACACACACACACATACACGTATGTATATATGTATGTATGTATGGATATGCATATATATGTGTGTATATAATATATCATACATATGTCATGTGTTCATTTAGTTGTCTAGTTGTGTTTGATTTTTTGTGACCCTGTGGACCATAGCATGCCAGTATTGTCCAGGGGGTTTTCCTGGCAAAGATACTAGAGTGGTTTGCCATTTCCTTCTCGAGTATATTAAGGCAAATAGAGGTTAAGTTACATGCCCAGGGTCACACAGCTTATAGGTGTCAGAGGCTGGATTTGAAATCAGGTCTTTCTGACTCCAGTCCCAGCACTCTATCTACTGAGCCACCTCCCTGCCTCTTTTTAAA